GGGGGGGGGGGGGGTCAGTAAAACAACTCAGTGGACGGAAGCCAGCATGGTTGTGTGTTTTTTGACGTTTTCTTTACTTATATTTATTCCAAATACTGTAAACACCCGCATATAAGAACAAATGGATTAAGAACATCAGGCTGAAATTTGGCACATAAAGCACCATATATATGAGAACCATTTCAGCCTGGTGAATAAAACATGTTCTTATATAATAAAGGAAAGGATGTCGGAATAAGAAAGCAATGTAACAATGGTTGCTGCCAGACAATCACAAAACTGATTTACTGATTTACTGATTTGTTTACTTACTCATTTATTTATAATAAAATATGCTAACTAAACCTCTAAGAACATGTTATGTGTCGTATTTCTGAAACAAAGTTTCAACATCTTAAGAATATCTTCAGGCTGATTTCTCACTGAACACCTTATAAACAAGAACTAGATCAGCCTGAACCCCTGTAGTTGCTTGGTACCTTTGAGTAGCATAGCTTGAGTACCATGCCTTGCCTGATGGCATTGATCTCAATAAATGACCTGCTCATTGTATGATATTTACGTGTTTTTGTTATAATTCTTTTAGGATTTAACTGTAGTGTCCTGAAGCTAGCATAATGTCAGTTTCTCCCTAGTGATCATGATCTCTTGATCCACACTTTAGTCGTCACTTTGAAAAAATACTAGTTTATGACAAGCCTGAAGTCTATAAATACCTTCATCATCTAATGGTGAGTTTCCCATCACAGCAACTGCACCAAAAAGTAACATGACAACCACGAATTGTCCTTCCATGTTGTTGTGCTATTGATAGAATAAAAGCATTTATTTCTGTATGTTTATTTTATTGCGTGCAAAAAAAAAAGCAATTATAACATAGAGTGCGCGCGGGTCCTACTTAATTCCTATTGATCTATCATGGTAAAAATCTCTTTATAAAATAACTAACATACTACGCGAGCTCTGATTGGTCAATAGAGTTGCAAAGCCTATGTTCTATTGTACCGGTAAACCACGGTTAGCGATTGGGAAGCTATACGCGGGAACTAGAGAACTCAGAGCAACTGTAATAATCAGTCTCGGCTTTCACTGGCTGAGATATCAATAACGCGAATATCTTTTCATTCAACATTAACATGGAAATTTACAAGGAAAAACAGAACCAGGAGTTGGTCGGCACATAGTCTTAAAGCTTTATGTTTTTTTCCACAACAAAAATTTTACACTGACTCCCGTTACGCTTGAGTTTAAAATTAAGGAAGTTTTAAACGTTGTTTTCGGTGCCTTCCACGGTCTGTGGAGGACCAAGTCAGCTGGGCTTGACTGATCAATTTGGGTTGTTAGAAAAGTTCTTTCGATTTAAGTGTCATTGTCAGAGAAAACAGGGCAGGACCAAAAGATCGAGGTCGGCCGTTTACCTTCATCTTTTCACAGTATAAAAGATATCCGAAAAGATTAACTACCATGGCGTTTGGCGAGATAAGCGTTCGTTTTTCTTCAAGATATCATATCATGATCCTGGCCTCTCAAGCGGTCTAAAATGGCCGAAATTCCGGGCAACCTTAGGTGAGCCTAAACGATACTTCCTACAAATTCCAGAAATTCTTATTTTCGGTGCGATAATGTTTGTCCCCTAATTAGTTTTACTGAGATATATTTTAGGCCTTACCTTTTGGAATTTTTGCGTTAGATAATTGTGTAACAAAATACCTAAAAAATCAAATAAGAAATGCCAGTGAAAAAAAAAAAAGAATTTAAAAGAAAATTTTAAGAAACCGTACGTTACCCAGTCAACAATCTTGACCTAGGTAGTGAGTGCAGACCAAACACAGTAAGGTCTGTACTAACGACCTCGGTCAAGGTTCTCCCATACAGATCGACCAAGCACTAAAAACTAAGAGGTGGAACATTTGAAGTTTGGGAGGGCTCGAAAAAGCTGTGGAAATACACACCTATCGTCTCATGTTCCCACAGCAATTCTCGTTCTCCCAAACGTCCACTCGTGTTTCTATAACTCAATAGAAACACGGAAAATGTTTTCTATTTCTTAGATAGTATACCGTTCAAAACCAGTGTATAAACAGATCTTCTCATTCACTGCAGGGAAGTGTGCTTTTGAAAACTTGCGCAACTGATGTCACGCCAGAAGAATAGGTTTCGTGTTAAAGACGTTAAGTGATTATTGACAGAATGACACGTCATTACCAAAAGAACAATCAACGATATCACCAAATAATTTTTAAGGTCATTCCCCAGTATTGCATTGCGCATCCCTACTGCGCATAATTTCGCGCGTAATTAGTGCGCCCGCATTAAGAAATGGCGGCTTTTTCTTTACGGCTGGACCTCGCCATAGAGGTAAATCGTCATTTTCTCTGAAACGAGTATGGTGATCTATCATTTTTTTTTTCTGTTGTTTTGAATTGAGTTATAAATTGCTCTGTGTAAAATAGACTGATATGGACCGATTCTCAGTGTAGAACAAAAAACAATCGTTGGAAACGTGAATTTAGCAAGCAATTGTGACTACAATCATGGTGCTATTATAAGGATTATTGGGTATAAACAAGGTGCTGTTGCTCCTAAACGAACACGGGGACCCCTCATTTTTATTTCAAAATTTAAGTTCCCATAATATAAACAATCATTAGGCAAAGTTTCACAAAAATCTCCGTGCAGGTTCTATTTCTGTGGAATGACCTTAAAAGACTTCTGTTATCTGAACCAGATTAAGAAATAAGCCCTTGTTCTAATAAGGAGTCAGTTATGTATGGCTCAATTTTACGGAAAGTGGTTTCCGAGGGGTCGGTTTCTTACTGAATGTTAACAATAGCTCTGTTTCTACCGTTTAAAAATATGTATGAAACAATTAAGAATTGGTTCATGCTTAGCGAGCGTATATCGAGTTATGGATGCACGTGGGAAGTTTGGAGAGCGCGAAAGAAGTGTAAGAGTTGCTCGAGGCGATAGCCGGGAGCAAGTCTAGCTTCTTGAGTGCTCTCCAAACTTCCCAAGTGCATCCATAACTTGATATACGCACAGCTAAAAGCATGTATGAACCAATTCTTTTATAACATGGCGACAACAACTTGGGCGCTAAAACATGTTTTATTTGTGATTGACTACAAATGCAATCACGGGAAGATAAACATAGTTCATTGGGATCCTAACACGCCACAATCAGTTGAGCAACGGTTGAGCGAAAACGCTTAACCTGGTTTCTAAAATTGTCAATGAAAAATTGGCTTCTTCGAATTAATTATAACGAAAATGTAAGCAGACAAAGTCAAAAATACTCGATGGAAATGTAGACAAACAGTCAAAATACTCACGTTTAAGTAAACATCTTAGCTTGGCAAAAGTCAAAGGCTCGAAGTAGAGTTTGGATTGTTCAGAATAATTTTCACATTACCGAAACTCGACGGAAATTTTGCAGCTAAATTGAAACTGCACACGTCATGTTATATACGCACAGCTGTGCGCACATAGGGATTTCGTTCATGATGGCTCAATAGGAATTAGATAGGACTACCGCGAGCTATGTTTTAATGGTTTTTGTTTTCGCGCGTTTTTCGTGTTTACTGAAAGAATACTATAAGTCACAACAAAATTTCAATCTTTCAAAAATATATTATCTTGGTTAAAACAACCAGAAAAGTACAGCATGAAAAACGTTTGAATACATTCTCTAGACCTGCCAACATGGCAACCGTTAAACACACAAAAATGTAATGGAAACGGCTTACATAAAGAGTTCCAAAATCTTCGAAAAGTACAACGATTATACAGAAAAATAGGAAAGTTAAATATGTTTGGCGGTTTAGATATATCAATTTTGCTGTTTCTACCGTTAGGAGTTGCTTTTTTAAAGTCGTTTTGTGGTTTATTCGAAGAATAATTAGCCATGTCTAATCAACTTAGTTTGTAAACAATTTGAACATTATATTACCATAACCTACCATGAAATGGGCACGTAAAAGGAATGGAAATCCTACTGTAAAAATTTCAGTCTGTTGATAATATTTTTCATATCTAGGTAAAAACAACTTGAAAAATCAGCTTGCATGTTAAACGTTAGGATATATACTTTAGCCGACAAAACCTGGTAACGGTTGAACACAAGAGAAGAATTTAATGTAAGCGGTCTGCCAAAAGAGTAACTGGTTTTATCAGTTATATCAATTTCTCTTCTTGTACCATAAAGGATAAAAAGGCGCTGAGTAAAAGAATCATTAGCCAAAGCTAATCAAATAAATTTGTAAACAACTTGAACATTGGGTTGTTTGTCATGGCCTAACATGAAATGCCCCCGTGAAATGATGGGTTTTTTTAAAATTATTTTACTATAAGAATTTCAGTCTTTTAATAATATTATATATGTGTAGGTAACAATAAGTGGAAAAATTCAGCATGAAACAATTTTGTATACTCTCTTAAGAAAACACACTAGTTTTCCCTGGTAACGAATTAAACACATGAAAAACCTTTTAATAGAAATTAAAGGTCTGCTCAAAGACTTTCAAAATCGTTAAAAGTACAAACGCTATACAGAAAAATAGGAAGGTAGAATATATTTGACGCTTAGATATATCAATTTCGCTTTTTCTACCGTTTAATTAAAGAATGGCTTTAAATGTTTTCAAATCGCTTAGTGATTGTTCACAGAATTAGTAGAATAATTATTCCACGAGCGTGCGTTGCATATACATAAGTTAGAGCTTTATTCATCTCATTTTCAACAAGCGGGTGTGGAATAATTGCTTTATTAAAAAAGAAAAACACCAAAGTAGAGAAACCTAAAATAAAACAAAAATAAAAACGCAAAAAAAAAAAAAAAAAC